GACGACGCGATTTGCGTAAGTAGCAAATATTAAGCTTAAAGAATTATACCCCATTGAAAGCATTTTCGATGCAGCCTCGTTTCGACGCATGTCCTGCTACATCACACAGGATGATCGACTGCAGCCCTTGCTGACGGTTAGCGAGAACATGCACATAGCCGCCGACCTCAAGCTGGGTGAGAATGTCAGCTACGAAGAGAAGGAGAGCAGAGTGAGTTTACAGGCAAAGTATTTCCATGAGAGTGACGTCTAAGATTGACATGCTTCTTCTAGATTGAAGATATTCTGTTGCTGCTCGGTCTTTATGATCACGACCAGACGCTGACCATGCGCCTGTCCGGTGGTCAGAAGAAGAGGCTATCCATTGCAATGGAGTTGATTAATAATCCCACTGTGATGTTTCTGGACGAGCCGACGACGTAAGTGTCTAAGCCACTTGGAGTTGTGGAGCCCATTTTAATCTTGTCTCCTTACAGCGGCTTGGACAGCAGTTCCTGCACCAAAGTCTTGGAGTTGTTAAAGCGACTGACAACCCAGGGTCGCACCATCATTTGTACCATACATCAGCCCACTGCCAAGTTATTCCAAATATTCGATCAGGTTTATGTGCTCTCCGCGGGCAACTGCGTCTACCAAGGCGGCACCCAGAAGCTGGTGCCATTCCTGCAATCGGTGGACCTGCCATGCCCCATGTACCACAATCCAGCTGATTACAGTGAGTGCCGCATTAGACTAACTCCTATGCAGGTAACAATTTACCTTCCATACTTTCGATAGTTATTGAGTTGGCCTGCGGCGAGTACGGCTTCGACAAGATCGATACGCTCAAGAGTGCCACGGAGAATGGCAGCTGTTTGACTTGGTTTAACAATCCAGGCGCCGTGCTGCGTTCCGAGGCGCTCATCCACAAATATCCCATACCCAAGCGCTCCAAAAATGTTTCCCTCGAGAACACCAGCTTTACGAATCAGTGCTCTGTGCTGCTGCGACGCGGTTATATCAAGGCACGTCGCGATACGACAATGACACATCTTCGCATTGGAGTCAACATCGCTGTGGCCGTACTCTACGGCGCCATGTACGATCGTGCGGGCAGAGAGGGCTCACGAGTTTTGGACAACTACAATCTACTGTTTGCCATATTGATGCATCATTCGATGACCACCATGATGTTGACGGTCCTGACATGTAAGTGTTGTTGGATTGCTAACTGACATCGTTGTCCATATGCGAGGCTCCAAGTCGGCTTGATCTGAAGTCCTTAGAAATGATTCGTACTTAAGACAAGTGTTAAGCCGTAGCCAAGTCTGAATTGCTCAAACAGATATGAAGTGCTCTTCTTAATAAATCAAAGAATTTTCTCTTAATATATTATATATTTGCTCTTAATATATTGTATAATTCCGTTCTAGTTCCCATTGAAATGACGATTTTAATCAAGGAGCACTTTAATCGCTGGTACTCTCTCAAGGCGTACTACTTTGCCATGACGCTTGTTGACCTGCCCATAACGGTGGGTTCCACACTTAATTTAAGCAAGAACTGAATTTAAAAACAATTTCATTTGCCTTGCAGTTTGTCAGTACTTTCCTGTTTTCGGTGATTATTTATTTATGGAGCTATCAGCCCTTGGAATGGGTACGCTTCTGGATGTTCTTTTCCATCAGTTTGTTAATTGTGTTTGTGGGCCAAAGCATTGGCCTTATGATTGGCGCCTGGTTCGATGTGGTCAATGGCACTTTCCTGGCACCGGTGCTGACTATACCCATGATGATGTTTGCCGGCTTTGGCGTCACACTGCGCGATCTGCCCAGTTACCTGAAGTGGGGCAGTAACATATCCCATTTGCGCTACGGCCTTGAGGGCTTCATAGCTGCCATCTATGGACTGGACCGTGGCGTTCTGGAGTGCAACGAGGCGCCCTACTGCCACTATAGGTAATTGGCTGAATTTATGAATCTTGAAACAGATTTATTGATGCTCTTTTGTTTTGCAGATATCCAAAGAAGTTTCTGGAGGAGATCACTATGTCTGGCGATAAGTTCTGGACAGATATAATAGCACTGTGCGCTATGACGTTTCTTTTCCGGCTGGGTGCCTATATTGTGCTTAAAGCAAAGATCAAGTCGATCAGATGAGCGTTGATTTTCCGAGGAATAAACTTGCCCCCTTGTATTATACATAAAATGTTGAACATTACGTTTAGTGTTATTTTTACTAAATTAATTACATTAAAAACTTGTTAATTAAAGCTATTCATATAGACTCTATATCACACGTTTCAATTGTTGACGCCATGCACCGCCTGGTCAGCCTCGTTCTTGGCGACTGTCGTTTGCTCCAAAAGCTGATGCAGCGCCTGCGCATTGGACGCCATGTCACCAGAATGAAGCTGCGTGGTTTGGAATACGTTAGTTGGTTTTAAAAGCTCTAGCTTTAAGTTCAATACTCACGAGTACAACGCGCTGGCCCAGCGATTCCAGGAGTCTTCTTTTTAACCTTAACAAAGAAGTCGCCGTTCGACTGAATCTCAGCGTCTGTTGCGGCGTCAGCAGCTCTATGTAATAAATACATGACTGCTCGCCAAGTGTCTGGACGCGCAAGCTAGGCAAATTGATGCCAGCAATGGGGCAGACCAGGTCGACACCTTCCACGTCGGCATCTGCAGCCAGCTGCTTGGCATAAGCCGTCAGATCGTCGCGCTGCTTTAGCAAATAGCCAGGCGCACGCGTTAGCTCCTTAAAGACCTGCTCCCTTTTGACATCCGTCCAGCTGGGCTGCTCGATGGCAACGGCGGATCGCAGTACAGTCAAGCGGCTGTCTACTTTGGGTTGTGCTCGTTGACGTTGGCGTTGTAAGGCCTTTAGTTCCTCTGCCGCATCAAAGAGTACCTTTGAGTGATGGCCCATGATGCACAGGGAGAGGCAAGTGTCAACCAGTTGGTCGGCAAAGTAATCGTATTCGCCTTGATCTAGTTTGCGCAAGGCAATTACCTCCAGTTGCCTAAGCTGTGCGGTAGTCAACGGGCAATTAAGCTGTGCACAGCTCCACAGGAATGTGGCCAGGTCCTTGGCACGCAGCTCACTGGGCTTAAACTGCAATAAACGTTCAACAAGTGCGTGCATGCATTCCGCTTGATCCCATTGCATCTCGGCAAAGTACGCGAATATATGCGCTAAGCCCCGTGGCTGCAGTTTCAATAGCTGCGCAGGCTCCAGACAGATGCCCTGCAGGTGCTGGCAGATGCGTTCATCCTGCACCCGCTGGAGCCGCAATGCCTTGATGTAGCAAATAAGCAGCGCATCATCTGCGTCGTTGTCCGGACCAAACTTTAGATTCAAAATTGCATTCAATAGGGCGGCCTCATAAGCCTCACGCACAGCGCCTGTCACCAACGTAGACGTCTTGTAGGCAGCATTGCTGATCAGGGCCAGATCCAGAGGGCTCAAGCTGGCTAAATGCTCACCAAGCTGTGTGGCAAGCAGCGTCTCCAAATCGTTCTGCTGCTGCTGCTTTTGAAGGCCCAGGTAGAAACAGATTTGCATAAACCGCTGTTTGCTGCTAGGCGCTTCCTCTGCAAGACGTCGCATGGCCGCGTGATAGAAATCCGTGCGCTTTAGCCAGTTTGGCATGAGGAACAAAAATGCGTAGAGTGTCTCCAACATAGTAGTTGTGTCCATCTGCTTCAGCATTGCTGCCGCATGCGCATCCAGCGTGTTTAATGCCATGGCATACATAGGCGCCGCTGCATTGGGCCGATAGCTGGAGGCGTGTATAATCAATGCTGGCAACTGCGAGGCTGGCGTCTTCTCTACAGAGCGTCTAAAGTACCGTTCATCCGTTATAGGAAAATAGTCGGAGTAGCGTATCTCCGTAGGTGGCAGCACGTGCTCCTCACACTTGTAGCGCTCTATGGCTATGTGCTTGGCAAAACGGCTGAGCAGCGTACCGGCTTCATCCGACGTCTCGCGCAGCACATCCCTTGGCGTGAAGGAGGCATAGCAGCGCGCCAGACATGGCTTCTTACTATATGTGATGGATGCGCACGCAAAACGGCGCAGTAGAGCAAACATTTCTTTAACAATTTTGATATTTTTATGTAACCTTTTTAATAAAGACAACGTGCGCAGCAAGTCCAATGTAAAATAGTCAACCAGTGTTGTTAAGCATGCAAATAAATTCGTTTAAATTCGTTTTTTGGCACATTTTATGCTAATTATTCGTTGGTCAGGGGAATGGCCAGCAAGGCTATACATTTATAATTTAATGTATAAATTTTATTTGTTTTTGTTTATTCATTGTCACCATCTGAAAATATGAAACAAATTTATATACCAAGTAGGTAACTCCCGAACGTTATATTCACACACTCTGCAACACTACTCAGTTATCAATTGGTTAATGGGCAAGAATAATGGGAAAGAGAGCTGCTGGATTTGTCCTTTTTCGGCGCTTATGTGGAGAAATTCAATATTTACTCTTAAGAGCTTCATATGGTGATTTCCACTGGAGCGCGCCAAAGGGACATGTGGATCCAGGCGAAGATGACTTCACTACAGCCTTGCGGGAAACAAAGGAAGAAGCCGGGTAAGTGCGTAAGAGTACACAAATGAGCATAATAATAATTAATTTTGTTATAAAGTTACGATGAAAAAGATTTGATTATCTATCGTGATAAGCCTCTTACACTAAATTATGAGGTCAAAGGTAAGCCCAAGGTTGTTATCTACTGGCTAGCAGAACTTCGAAATCCAAACCAAGAAGCCGTTCTCTCCGAGGAGCACACCGAACTTAAATGGCTGCCCAAAGAAGCGGCAAAGGAAATCGTTGGCTTTAAGGACAACCAAGTGATGTTAGACAAGTTTCATGAAATTATACTGAATATGGATAAGAATCGGACCGGCTGCGGATGTCCATAAAAATACCACAAATTCAGTGCTGCAAGCGATGTCGCTAAAGTACGGCATTTTAACGATATGCAACACTATTTTTAAGGCATCTGTAGATTGATTTTGTTGTGAGAAACTGAGCAAAGCATTCAATAAATTTACTAAAAAAAAGGGCTATTTTGTTGATTCAATATATATATATATATAGCATATAGTATATATATATATATACAATAATGGGTTCACGATCGCGCAGTCCCTCGGTGAAACGCCGTCATCACAAAAGCAAACACAAGAAACGCAGTAAAAGTAAGTCACACAACCGCGACAGGGATCGGGACCACGAGCACGAGCGCAGCAGCTGCACACGCAGCAGTCGCACGGATAGAGACAAATCAACAGAGATTAACCAACACGGCCGGCGAGAGCGCGATAGACACCGCAGCGACAGGCACACGCACACGCACCTGCACACACACACAGAGCGAGACTATCACCGGCACTCGCACTCTAAGTCCCGCAAACGCTCCACCTCATCAAGTAGTGATAGCCAACAGTACTCGGATCATGAGACGCAACGCAGCCGACACAAGCGCAGCCGCTTTAAGAAACTGGATGAAGTAAACAATTTGCTGACTAGCTTATTACTTGGGTTTGCGTACTAAACAAATTTACTTGCAGCAAAATTTACTGCAGGTGGAACGACTGGCCGAAATGGAACGGCAGCGGCGGCAAAAAGAAGCCGAGCAGAAAACAATCGAAGAGCAGGCGGCCAAACGCATCGAAATGCTAGTTAAGAAGCGTGTCGAGGAGGAGCTCGAAAAGCGACGCGATGAAATCGAACAGGAGGTGAACCGACGTGTCGACACTGCCAAAGCGGAAATGGAACGTGATATGATGCTAGAGCTGGAGAGGCGGCGCGAACAGATACGCGAAGAAGAACTCCGTCGCGAGGTAGGTGCTCGTATTCAGATTTCGCTGGACGACTGCTGCTACCACAAATACCAAAACTACCACACGCACAATATACAGCCTCCGACAACTACTACCGAAACACGCACACGTACAAAACAAACAGCAGTTGCAAACAGTCGTCTTGTAAAAACCCCCATACGAAATTGTGTAGCGACGTTTCCAATTACCAACTGCAATTGCTGGGTTCTGACGGATCAGTGTGCCTGGGTGTGTGTGTGTGTGCTTGTATAAGAGTTTTACTAATTTCCATTTAATAATCATCATAAAACACAGCCATGTTCTTGCGCTATTTTGGCTATTGAATTTACTTCATAGAATGCTAAATTAACTATAAACCTTAAGAATCTTCGGCTAACTTTAAGCTGACTCTATGTTAACTTCTATATTCTATTTGAATCAAGAACATGGCTAAAACACATTTCACTTTTAATTACTAATCCTCGCTCATGTCTGCTAACTGGTAACTTTTCGGTTCATTGCCGCAACACACATCCATACACCAACACGCTGAGCCTCTGGCCACGTCGCTGCACAGTTCGCCTATTTCCTCTTGCCAAATAATTTTTGTAATTATTATTTATTTTTTCTACAAAAAAAAAAAAAAAAGAAATTTTTCCCTAAAGCCAAAAAATGTGTCTTGCAGTTTTTGACGTCCCAAAAGTGCATAATTCTATTTTTGCATTACATGCATTAGCTTCATCTATCAGTTCAATTTTATTTTGATTGGTTTCTGTAACTCGTTGTTGTTGTTGTTACATAATGCGCGATAATGCTTTTTTATCGAATGCGTGTGTGGGTGTGCGCGCGTGTGTTTAGGTGTGTGTGCGTATGTGTGTGTGTGTTTGACGCGTTGTGCGAGGGAATCACAATCACAACAAACAAGCAGAACGTAATAAAAACATGTAAATTTGTACATATACCTAACTGTATATGTCGTCCCGCCCCACACTCGAACCTAAGCCGGAGCCAGCTTCGAAGAGAATTCGGCCACACGGATGAGAGCAACAGCTTTCTAGGAGAGATTCAAGATGTACCACACACATATACATACGTATCGCGTACATATATATGTACGTAAAGTTGTCTAGTCGTAAAGTTAGAACCGTTAGCCAGTACAGTTTGGCCAAGCTTTGGGGCGGGCTTAGCATAGCTTAGCTTAGTTCCAACTGTACGCAGCATGCCAAAAGCCTCAAAAGATCCCGTAAGGGGGCCTATCCATACCAATAAACGGGTGAGTGAGTTCCTTAAGCATACGAAACGTGTGAAACAACAAAATGGATTAACGAACTGAAGTGTCTTAAAGTGTGAACAATAATCTTTCAAATGTAACGAAAAGCATAAACAATATCAAAAAAAAAAAAACAAAACAAAAAAAAAAAGACTCTAAGGACTCTAAGCTCTCCCTCTAGGAACATTCGTCATAGGAACACCAAAGCTGATCAGACTTAAGATTGTTATCGTAACTCATAAGCCGGATAAACCATTTGTCAATGGGTATGACTGTACTTGTTGTTGTTGTCGTGCCAAAATGTTAATTTTTTGTATGTTTGTTCTTCAAACATTTATCGTTTATCGAAACGCTTTTTTTATTTGTTTTCTAAACACAATATGTAATGTAATTCTGATTAAACAACTATGTAGCTGAATACCGTAAATCAAAATGCAAATTCGCAGCAAAGCCAAAAATTAACAAAATGATTTAGCCATTAAACTGGAAAAATGAACTATTTCAATAGTAAGTAGCAACAAAACAAAACAAAAACAAAATCAAAAAAAAAAAAAATCAAAAAAAAAAAAGAATATCATATTTAAAAAAAAAATCAAGTTAAAGTACATTTGTTAATGTTGTGTGCTCTTATTGTTAAAAATTAAATTCACAAAAAATACCAACTCTTATTTAAACGTTTTTTTTTTTTAGACACTACTAAATGTTTTTTTACTTTCTACCAATATCTTCTATGTAACTTATTGTAAAACATTAAATTAGATATTTAATACATATTTATGCAGCCCATCGAAAATTAAAAAAAAGAAAAGAACAAAAAAAACTGATAAAAATGCGTCCAAAGTCGCCGCTAAGATTGCGTCACCGATGTTAAAGAAACCGTTTCTTTATAAATATAACTAGACTTAAGGATTTCGTGAAGCCTTAAATCTGAATTATTAATACGCCATTTTATTTGGGTTTTATAGGAGGAGGAAAAGCAAAAACGCGAAGAGCTCGAAGAAATATTGGCCGAAAATAATCGCAAAATCGAAGAGGCGCAAAGAAAATTGGTAAGACAAAATAGCTTACGATTATCCTTTAATTGTCTTTAATGAAATCTAATAAATCTATAAAACAGGCCGAAGAACGTTTAGCTATCATTGAGGAACAGCGTCTGATGGATGAGGAGCGTCAACGTATGCGCAAAGAGCAAGAGAAACGCGTCAAGGAAGAGCAAAAGGTCATATTGGGCAAAAATAATTCAAGACCAAAGCTATCGTTTTCCCTGAAGCCGGGCGCGTTATGAGGTGTCCTTCAGCACACAGTGGGCGTTCCCTTTGTCCTTTTTTGTTTTACTTTTTTTTGGTTTTATTTTTTTTCTTAAACCACGTTTTGTCGCCTTGCTTGCGATTAAAAGCAGTCGAACGGGTTTCATTGTTGTAATTATATTTTATTTGTTTTTGAAAAGCGTTTGATTGTTTTGAATGCAAGCAAGGTGTTATTAGGTTGACCCATGTTTTTAACATACTACATACACATGCAGACATCCAGACAGGCAAACATAAATTTATAAACTAGTTTTGTTTATTGAATGAAAAACAAATGGCCAACTTCTTCGATTTAAATATTATATAGCTCTTTATAGAACAATATGCTAGCAACTTACTTAAATCTTTTATACATACGATACATATGTGAGTCGAATGAATATGTGTAGTGCGTCATATTGTTGCAAAAGGCTAAAATATATATATATAAAAGGCTATAAAATATGCAAAACATCAACAAGATATCGCGAAAAATGTACTCCCAAACCTTTGCTACAAGAAACATTAAACAAAATTGATAATAAAGCGTTTCGTATACAAAATTGTGTACTTCTTTCTTCATATAAAGCTGGAGTTTTGGGGACCTTTCCATAGTCAATAACCTTATGATATCTATTTTAGAAGCCAAGTACATGAGAATATGTCCAAGACGAGAAGCGAGTTGTTACAACATCTTCGGATACTCACATTACTCGGCGTGATTTATATGTCAAACATAAACAATTGTAAAATTTAGATAAATAAATAAGCTATATTTCATATGTTTCCGATTTTTTTTTATAGATTTTTATTATAGTCTTGAAAAAGTTCATTTTATTATGCATTCTCTTGATATATGTTTTGTTGATAACATTTAATAAGATTTGATCGTTAATTATAATATATAATTTTCCAGCTTGTTTCTTTGGTTATGCTAGCACATATGATATAAGTATATAGGCATACGTATGTATATACACAAATTAGTTCATTTTTGTTTGTTGAATGCAATGTATGCAATATATATATATTATATTATATTTTCATTATATTTTCCGATTGCTAGCATCAAGCTATGCGTGCCAAATTAAATTTCCATTCAAATCAACATCAGCCAACAGTTTTCAGTTTCAAGTCTTTCGATTTGTAGGTTTTTTTATTTTTTCTGTTTGCAGGTCAAACATTTTGCCAATCCCGAACATTCATAAGCAGCTGAAGAATGCAGAAAGTTTTACAGCTTATATAATTGCACTTGAGAGTTTTTATTTTAATTATTTTAGATAAGTTAAATCAGAGAAGTAACGCCAAGAGAATAAATACTTTTACGCACATTTGCGTATGCGTTTGTTTTTTTTATTTTTGTTTAAATAATATATGCATAAAAAAAGAACAAATTAAAAAATTAAATAATAATTAAAGTATATTTGAAATTATATGGAACTAAAAACAGTTAAATTGCAAACATTTCAAAAATGGCATAATTTTAGCTATGAAATTAAATATGTTCATAATTGTATGGAGAGAAAAAATTAAATGTTATAGTTATATGAATAATTTATAAGTTATATATACAGCTTCATTCATCAACAATCTCAATCTCAATATTTCGCTTTTATTTTTAAGTTGATTTCCAAAATTCTTTTTCGTTTCTCGACCAAAACAAAGCGCGCAGCCGGCGCTTAAATTTATAATTATTTATAAAAGTTGTGTTTTTTTTTGTTTTTATAATCTTGCTGTTGTTGTCGATTTAGGTCCCACACAATTTTGCTAATTATACAAATATACGTGTTCACAATTATTACAATTTTTTTTTTTTTTTTTATTATGTAGTTGCCTTTTGATTAGCTTGCTGACTAAATTTAATTTCAATTGCAAATAGGATAAGGTTTTTCTTGGTTTTGTATTTTGCATTTGTCTAAAATTTGCTTCTCATATTATAGCCATAATTTAAATATATTTATATATATATAAATGTGTGTGTGTGTTTGTGTGTATGAAATCATGATGAGAAATTGTGTGTATGCATGTTTTAAATATTGATAAATGGGTTTTGTTTACATATATATCTATATATATATATATATATGTGTATGTAGAATAGTACTTTTACATTTAAATGTGTAGAAAAATTCGTTAAATTGATTTGCGTATAGTTTTTAGTTAAGTTTTTCTTTTTGTTTAACTATTTATGTTGATCTTTAATAGCCACAAATACAAATTGTTGGTTTGGCTAGCAAATGGCTTGACAAATTTGGTTAATGCAATGGCTGCACAGCCATTTATTGTTTAAATAATAATATTCCTACGATTTTTGTATTGCAGTTCTGCGTTTTAAATTTCAATTTTTTATCATTTTCAATTTGGCTGCAGTCTAGTGTTTAATTCGATTTTGTTTATACATATATAGTATTTTTAATATATATATATATGTATATTTAAGCATATATAAATATATAGAAATCTGTTTTAGTGCAAATGCTACAAATTGTTAGCCTTCGCCCCACAAAAAAACTCAACCACACAAAATTCACAAAACACAGCGTCCAATCGCCCTCAAACTGCGGAGGCAGCGTGTTGGCGGCTTCAAATTCACCACAGTCACTTAACAATGACTCGCAAACTGTTTGACGCTTAGCAGTATGTGACACAATGATTCCAAAACTTTGAAAGTTTTATTGCATTGCTGCCGGCGGCTGTTGTTGTCGTTTTGCTTCGATTCCGTGTGGTCTGGCGCATCCGGCGCTAGGTAACCATCTTGATAAATAGGAGTGCCAGCAGCATATTGACAAAAAGCACGAGCAGCATCAGCTGTCGTCGCACCAGCCAATCCTGTCCAGAAATAAATGAAGTAGCATTTAGTGCCCGGCTAGGCTAGGCTGAGCTGAAGCCCTCTTGAACGGAACACTCACCTTCACTTGCGGACTAACCAAATACAGCAAGGGATTCGCCCGGAGGCGTTCGTTGACTTCGATTTGACGACGCACGGCCTCGCGGCGGGCCGAGCCCAGAGCGGAGACTTCCTCGCGGCTCATCGCCTCCGTGGCGCGCGGCAGCTCCTGAAAGTCTGGCATGGACTTCTTGCGCTGCAGCGACACATTGATGGGCACCGTCTGTGGGTAACAAAGAGAGAGAGAGAGAGAGAGAGAGAGAATGGGAATTTTAGTTATGCAACAGTTTTGGATGCCCGACTGGATGCATGCAACACCACCTCAACGGGCGGCTCCACTATCCAGCTCTCGCTGGCGCGACGCGCCAACAGCGCCGGCGAGAACATCAAGTCCTCCTCATCCTCCTCTGGATACCAGTCCATGTTGTTGCCGCACAGCTAGATTATTTACAGTTCGACAGCCACTGCTGCAGCAGCTTGCATAAGTCTTATGAGTCCTATTGGCGCCGCCTCCAACTTGTAAACGAGTTGTTCATTTTTACTAAACACTAATTATGCCGACACCCGGCGGTCGTCGTTGTCAGTTGCCAGCAATGCGCCCCGTGGCCAAAAATAGTTCAACACGCACGGCACTGAGCCAAAACAACAACAACAACAACAACAAGAAGAAGAACCCCTCTGCTGCCTCAGCCTCTGCAGTTGCTGCTCATCGAGAATATATATATATTTATATATTTATATTGTTTAACGAGACATATACACAAATATATATTTTTATGGCGGCCAAGTGGCAATCGAGTTTAGCAGAATTTGTTTTTCGGCCGCCGCCTCTGGCGGGATCAACGCGTCTTTTGCTACTACCAAAGTGCTTTCGCCAACTGTCGCCAGCCAGCGACAACTGAGCGAGGCGACAGATCTTCCAATGGGCCACCACTTGTGAAGTGTTCATCGCATTCAGCGGAGACGATCAGCGGGCCGTAGAGCATGCCCACGACACACATGCATTCCATTCTGGCCTGGCGTGCACTCAGTTCCGCCTATAAATAGCCGGAGAATGGGCACATGTTCCGTCCAGCTCTCTCGCGCACTCTCTCTCCCTCTCTCTTGCTGATTTGTGTTATTGGCAGCTATTCTCTTTTGGCCAGATATATGGTATATGAATCAAGTTAATTGCGCGGATTAACTGCGTTATGAAATATTTGGGCTTAGCTACCCGGGAATCTGACAAACAGACGCGTGCACATTTTATGAGCCGCATAAAATTGCAAAAAAAAACTTAAATGAGAATTTTGATTTTGATTTGCGTATCTATTAAACACACAAGCACTTACAGAATTCCGTATACGCTTCATAATCTGACGATTTTTAAATTGAATAGAGAATAGACTTAAAAGGAAGAAACATTAACTATTTTCGCACATCGAAGATGAAATACCCTTGTAATAATGACGTTGAACCGATTTTGATACGAGTTTGCGCATAAGGCGAAACTAATAAATGCCGAGTTTGGTTAAGTTGTCTGGGTATATAAATAAGTTCTTCATACATAATCTGTATACTATTAGTTGGATATTGATAGTGATAATGAAACTAATAACAGATCGGTCCAGATATATTGATAAACAAACAAGTTGTTCATACCAGAAGCTACTCATCGACCGATTTTTCCAATTGCGGTTAAAGTAATCCGATTTCGATAGCTTTGAAAATAGACAAGCTAAGTTAATCAAGCTAATCAAGAATATATATATTGTTTATTATGTCGCAGATGTTTTCCTCTTTGCGTTACACGTTTCATGACGCAACTAAAATACTCTATACAAGGGTATAAAACTACGGCATCTTTGCAATTGAAGCTTCTTAAAGGATCTTGAGAATTTCACATATATGAAAAATCTTCAAATATATTTAGATTTTATTATAAAAATTACATATTTTTAGGTTGCTTTCTCAGAAGCTGATCCAGATGCTATTTAACTGAATTATCATCGACTATCATTTTGGAACTTATCTGTTTCTTCCTTCCGTTTAATTTGCTTTGGTGCCCTCGTACGAAGAACTATTCGCTACAACTGCTCTAAATATTATGTGTGCTGGAGTTGAGTTCGGAACTAAAGATTTAATCGCGATTCCGTCTTAAACAAATAATCTTTAGGATAAGCTTTAGATTATTCTTTATAATATTTGCTCTTTAAGGATTTGCTAATAATGGGTTTAGGATTTGCTAGTAGTGTTTTTTTAAAAGCCAACAGCTTACCTTCATTTTCTTGCCACCACCGCCGCCGCCGCCACCTTTGCCGCCCATGGCCACGCCCACCGGTGTCGCAGGCTTGGCTGGCAAATACAAGCTTTCCGTGCGTTTGGGTTGCAAGGGCGAGGGAATGATATCCTGACCGAGCGTACGTTGACGCAGCAGCACATCCTCGAAGGGCTGATTGGGCGACGAGAAGAGCGGCTCCGCCGCATTGCTTTGGCTGGGCGCACGCCCACCGCCACTCCCCAAACTGGGCGTTCCGGCGCGTGATAAACGCCCACCAGCACCAGAGGGCAGCGAACCGTTGCCGGTCATGGTCGAGGTGGCAGTTGTGGCCGAAGCACCCGCCACCGGTGTTGTGCCCCGAAATACTGAGCCAGCGCGTGGACGTCCATCCGGAGTGCTGGTGCCGCCACCGCCGGGGCCATTGGGCATACCATCGGCAAGCCCGGAGCGATCGAGGGAGGCCTGACGGGAGCCGGCAAAAGCGCCGCTCATGCGGCTGGCCGCGCGCGCATATCTATCAATGGAGGAGTCCCGACTGGGCGGTCGCTTGTAGTGGTCAAAGTGATCAATGGACGACTGCTGGCCCGTCTGTCCCAGCATGGGCGGTCGCTGTCCACGCGGCTGCTGCTGCGCCGCGGCCATTGCAGCCGCATTGGCGCCGGCATCCGCCAACTGTTGCTGCTGCTGCTGGGACGCGCGACGCAACATGCTCGTGGTATTGTGACTGGGCGAGGAGTGCAGCGAGGATTGCTGCTGCAGCTGTTGCTGTTGCTGCTGCAGCTGTTGCTGTTGCTGCTGCTGTAGCTGCTGCTGCTGTTGCAGCTGTTGCTGCTGCTGCATCTGTTGCTGGTAGAGTCTTTGTTGCTGTTGTTGCTGCTGTTGTTGCTGCTGCAGCTGCTGTTGCTGCTGCTGGTGGAGCAACTGTTGGTGCTGCTGTTGCGGCGAAATGTTGCTAGGTGTCAGGTTGGCGTTGCCTGCGCCAAACGGCGTCTGCTGCTGATTCAGTTTAACATTACCGCCGGGCGGCTGTTGCTGCTGGAACTGATATGCAGGATTCATTTGTGGATTGCTCTGTTGCTGCTGCTGCTGCTGTTGTTGCTGCTGTTGCTGCTGATGCTGCTGATGCTGCTGCTGGTGATACATTTGATTGATGGCGCTGACGACCTGCGCATGGCTCGGCTGCGCTTGGCTGACCAGCCCCGAGAGATCCGTCTGCGGCGAGACGGGCAGCTGCTGCGAATACATGGACGACGGCACGGGGCACTCCGACTCGTGTTGCTGCTGCGACATGCGGCGCTGCTGCTGCTGCATGTTCACGTACTGCTGCTGTCGTTGCGCCTGCGTGGCATAGGCATCTGAACCGGAGCCGGAGCCAGCGCCGCCGCTACTCGCCGGCGAGAATTGCTGCTGCATAGAGGCCGCTGTCTTGGCTCCGGTCATGCCCAGACCCAGATCCACATTTGTTGGGCCCGGGCCGCCTCGAAAACGTTCGCGCTCGCGATAGCGCAACTTCTCGAAACGCTCCAGCACCGAAGGCTTGAAGTCGGGCGCGAATTCGCGGGCCATGCGGACGGCATTCTCGCAATCGATGCGCGCCTGCTCAGCGGCAACGTCCGCATTTTGTGCCTTGGCTGCGGCTGTGGCCATGCGCGAGATGGCCATGTCCGAGCGTTGCATGGCCATCTTGAGAGCGCGCTGCGCGGAATTGACGGCGGCCGTGATGCGGTCACGGAATTTGCGCGAACGCGCCAGGAACAAATGCTTTTTCTTCTGGCTGGTGATTAATATGTTGTTCTTGTATTTTCCCTCCTCGACGTTGCCATCACGGAACGTGGTGACACCATAGCCATGCTTGCGATTGTTGTACCACTCGCCCTCGTATCTGTGTATATTGGATCATGGATTAGTATTGCGATCTGCCAATCTTAGCTGTCCACTTACTTGAGCCCATCGCTGCGCTCGGCGACACCGTGACCGCAGCGCTTGTCCTTCTTCCATTCGCCCATGTAGGTTTCCACCACCGTGGGATCCAGTTGCTCATCGTCCATGGTAAAGCTGGCATTGGACTCTGTATGCGCAGATCTGAAAGTGTCATAAATATATAAGATTTTTTTTTTTCAGGAAGCAAATTAACAGCATGCCAAATATGTTTCCCTAGTTGTCTAGAATGGGTTATTCCATATTTTTACAAATAAAGCTCAGCTCTTTTCTATTCCCTTCATCTCATTAATAAAGATTTGTTGCATTCCTAGCGATAAACGTGTGCCCACTTACTTAGTTGTCAAATTTGACTGCTCGGAGCCGGTGCTAATCCATGAGGCCGATGACATTGTGGACCTTATGCTGCCTGAAGCAATGGTGCCACGTTTCTCCAGATCGCCAGTGCTGCGTTGTTTACGCATTTTCAGACCCTGCCGAAAGGATAACCCATTACAAAGGTCTTGGAACGTGCTGAGGGTTCGGCTGCTTACCATTAGAAATCCCTTCTTCGTCTTTTCCGTGAGACTGTTGCGTCGAACGGGAAGCTTATCCGACTTGGCGGTCAACACAAAGCCGCCACGTATCTCCTCCGTCTTCTCAACAGCCTTGGCGGCATTGCCATTCTCAGCACTGCGCAGGGAACTCAACGAGGCGTGCAGATTCTTGCGACGATGATGAGAGGCGAGGCCAAAGGGCGCCGAGGTGCGTATACCATAGCCGTGCCGCTTGCCCTCTTGCCACTGACCCTGGTACTTGCCTGTAACAAAAAAAAAAAATAAAAAAAAAAGGTCTAATGAGTCTCGCTCGCTCTCTCTGTCTCTGTCTCTGTCTCTGTTGCATTCGCTGGCCAATTAAAATGCAAATGATAAACACAACCGCATTGTGTGACCTCATTGGAATGCCTCAGGCTAGCGGAAGTCCTGCTCGACTGCATCTACTTAGCATGGAATACATTCATTAGCTGGGAGCTCATTCGTAGGCTTTGCGGCAAGTAACTAGTATTCTATTAATGGGTCCACGTGTCTTGCGCCATTTGGGGAGCCTACTTAAGAGGGCCGCCTACTTTTATATTGTGCTCTCCGACCGGAATGTCGAAAAAGGTTGGGTTATTTAATTAGTAAATGTTGCTAAGGCTTAGCAAATGGCAATTTATAGTTTGAGCAAGGCAAACAGCAGGCAGACATTTAGTATTGTTAACTCAACTGGATAAAAGGTTACTGCAGCTATTCGCAATTGAACTTGTAAGAAAAGGGAAGGATACCTACAAAATAAAGAGTTTAATAAAGAAAGGACGCCGCAAAGCTAATCGCATGTAAAAATCCCATTTATAAGGGTCTATAAAATGTATACCTGTTTAAATCTGATGGATTTTCAGACATTTTTTATATTAGACCAAAATTAATTTAATGTGCATATGCCTAGTGCCTTTGAGAGACTCTACGAGCAATCTATATTATGCATTGACAAGCTGAATATGTCCGTCTAACAGATCTTAAGCAAGCGCATATTATATATAATTTGCATTGCATTGCAAGCACATGAATCGATGAACCACACTTATGAATAATAGCCTGAATACAATGAGTGCATCGCATGCATTCACAATGACATTTTCGAAACAATGTAAATTGTAATTATATTTTAATATTTGCCAGTGTGTGTATTATTCAAGCACGTACACACACACACACACACACACACACCCCCACACCACACACAAGGCAATGCATGATGATATTGAGCCATATGCTCTGGTACCGTACCACTAGGCGAGCTAACCGAATTTCCCCAGAAAAAACCCACTCATGTTGCAAAAATGTTTCAAAAGAAAAACGTAAAAGACTGAGGAAAATATGACGTCAGGCTTTGGTCACTCTGTGCTCTGCGTGTGTGTGTGGGTGTGTGTGTGTGTGCGAGAGATTTTGGCTTACCGGCAAGGCAAAAACAGAACATTGAAATGGCCTATATGAGTACACACACACACACACACACATGCACATGTGCCGAATTATTACAGAAACGTCAAAAAGTAAAATAGAACAACAACAAATTGATTTCAGCTGCTTCTGTTGTTGTTGGCTTTTGAAAATGGGCCAGGAAACGGACGGCAAATGATCTCATGCATAAGGCGCCGTTACGTATACGCCGTGTGAATTCGCTTACCGCCATCTGCATAGGTCTCGCAACCGGAACCATCCTGGTAGCCCTCGTTCCAGGTGCCCTCGTACTTGGCCGTCGACACGGTGCTCTCCCTAACACCATAGCGTCCTTTGTGTCCATCCTTGGACCACTCGCCGCGGTAGATCTGGCGACCAATCTGCTCCACGCCCAAACCATGTCGTCGTCCATTCTGCCATTGGCCCTCGTAGTGTGATCCGCTGCAACAATTGAGAAATCAGTGTGAGAACATGAATGGATCGGCAGCAAATGTCCCTATGCTCCTACTCTGAATTTACTGGGTTCATTAATTCAAAGTTAATAACCCAAATTAACTGATCAATGGCAAATTTAAGTCCACAAATCAGGCAGAGGAATACTTTATCTGTTCTGAACTGTCATTATTGCTAAGTTATGCTATTGCAGCAACCAGGATAACTTCAACATTTTAGAAAGAAGTATTTCCGTTCCACTAATTTCAAAAATGTCTTTCTTTCTTCCTCTTATCTGCCATTCACCCCAAACGCACACACCAAGCGCTGCCACCTAATTAGGTTTTAATGCGCTCGTGACGTCACAGCTTCTACTGCGCTATTGTGACTGGGGTTATTCTACATAGCCAATATACATTATGAATATTTAAGTCAACCCATTTTTACGCAGCAGAATGACGTTAAGTTAATAAATTGAACTAGAAGAACTCACCTGGGCCAAATGTACGATCCGGATACCTCAAAGCCATAGTTCCAGGCACCTGCATAGGCGCCCTGGTGCTTGGGGCCGGTGCAAACGCCGTGCCCGTGGGCCTTGCCCTCATCCCAGCCGCCGCAATAGGTGCCGCCATCCTCAAAGTCGAAGCGACCGCCGCTCATTGGGGCGCGCTTGATGCCGCCGCCGGAAGCGGCCTGGGCAGCGGCATAGGCGGCCATGTCGCCCCCATTTTGTTGGTGCTGTAGTTGTTGTTGTTGTTGTTGTTGTTGTAGCTGTAGCTGTTGTTGCTGCTGTAGCTGTAGTTGTTGTTGTGTTAGTTGGTCAGCTTGTTGCATACTCAATGCTTGTTCTTTGGTATGGCTATCGTTTGCTTCTTCTTCTGCTTCTTCTTCTTCTTTCTATTCTTCGTCCTAGGTTCTACTACTAAGTGTTACGGTTGTTGTTAATGTCGCTTTGAGCTTTTTATGTTTTCGTATGCTGCACATTGATTTACTGCTCAATTGTTGCTGTTGCTGTTGTTGTTGTTGTTGTTGTTGCTCCTGCTTCATTTGCATTTGTTTATTGTGTGTGTTAAATCTAACTTTTAGTTCGTTTCGCTTAGTTTCGTTTTATTTAGTTTGTTGTATTAGCTACGTAATTAGTTGGTTTGTTGTTCATTTGTTCCTTTGTTGACTTGTGCTTAGCTTAAAGTTAATTCTGTTTGGGTTAATTTGTTGATTTTTCACTGAAACGCGAAAGTTACAACTTGTTTTCTATTTTGATTCTGTTTGCCTTCGACTCATCGACTTGTAGCTTTTAAGTAACGATCAAGTTTCTAATGGGGCTCTTTATGCTAATGTCGTAGGCCATCATTGGGTAAGGTTTAAAGCTGAAAATGAAAAAAGTCAAAACTGTTAATATTGTATTCAATTGTTATCACTTAAGACATTAAGCTAAAAATAGTTACGCTAAGATAAATTCAATATAATTTAAGTGAAATTCATCTGGTCAATGATTATTTCAATTTAATTTTATTTTTCTATACATTTATATAATTTGATTTACTTTCAATTGCAATTATTTCAAAAGTAAAATCAATTTGAAAATATATTTGCCCATTATGCAATCAAGTCGAACAAATTTTCTTGTCTCGTATTAACATTGGAGAAAAGCTCAAAGTTGCATGCCATTAAGTTTTTGCATTTTCCAAAATGATTTATAACGCTATTTTATTGATTTTTATCTGTCAGATTTTCTTTAGTTTTTTTTTTTTTTTTTAGGCACGCGCGCGGCAAAATGTTTATGATGTAAATAAAATCTATTGAAATGAGATGCTAAAGAAAAATACCTCAAATGAATGTAGAAAGAGAGCAATGTTGATGATGACGATGGCGATGACGATGATGATGATGAAGATGTGTTGTTGTTGCTTTTGTTGATGTAGATAAAATGTATTTTGTGCAATCGCAAAACTACTCGCACATATCTGTATATTTGTATGAATGTATATATTTAAATATGTATTTCGAGCTGTTGTTTGTTAATAACAAATACGATTTTCAGTTAAGTTTTGGCTTGGCCCCGATGGCTAACAAAATTTATAGGCACAACACAGCATCATCCTGTACATAAGACAATACAACCGAGCTGTATATGTATCTACAGATACATATGTTTGTATCTGTGTATATGGGTTCCCGCAAATGGGCAGCGTCAAAGGCCAACGAAAAAGAAATTCTCAATGGCGCGCCGCCTAATGAGTGGGAGGCGGCTGCAGGTTGCCACGCTCAGCTGTTGCCCGGTGGCAGCCCCACTCGCTGTTGCCCCACTCGTTGTTGCCCCACTCGCTGTTGCCCCACTCGCTGCTGCGATCAGCGATTGTGGGCACTCGGCTGTTTATTTGTTTGCACGTATCCGCGATAGTAGTAATAAAATATTATGAAAATTGCATAGTAGCACACAAATGCCAGACACAGCACTTGCAAAGTTTTCATTTTTTTTTTTTTCTTTAATTTTCTTGCATTGTTTTTATCTGAGAATTAGATCAAAGTTCTTGATATGTAGCTCCTATGTGTATTGTGTTGCTTGTTGTTGTTGTTTGTTTTTTTCGCTGCGGTTTTTTGTAGTTTTGCCAAGTAGTTTTTTTTTTTACTGCCTCGTAATTATTTATGTTGCTCGGCCATTGGGCTTTTGCTTTCTTTGAGAGCTGTGTAATTTGTGCGTCTGGGCCATGTGTTAAGCATACATTTTTTTGTTTTAGGTTTTTAGTTTTTATTGTGGCAAGCGTGTTGATATGAGAAATTAAAACTTTTGTTATGTATTTGTGATTCATTTCGAGTAACAGTCGAATAAACAATTGCTTTAAACTTTGAATGTATTCAGTGTATGAATTACATACATTTTTCGATCTAATATTCTATATGTTCTACAAGGAAGCAATAAATAATTAAGAATTAAGTACCCGTCCAGAGGATTTATTGATACACTCTTTATGTATATCCAGAGGGAGAGAAATAGCTAAACGAAATTTCATAATCATAGATTGTTACTAAAGCACTTGCAAATACTCAGAAAAACCCAAAAACGCCAACTTACAACAATGGCAACAGTGTCTGGAAAAAGAAGAGCAACAATAATATAAACGGGCAGGAAATGTGCGCTTAACGCGCATTGCGTATACGCCATGTGGCTCAGTATTTAATGCCTTGGCATTGCGATAGCAGTGGTGCGGTTAAACCAGAGCTACAGCGGAAATTGTTTATTTGGAAATTCTTCACTCTGTTGCAAATAATTTACACTGTATAGCGAGAGAGAGAGAGAGGGAGAGGGAGAGCGACAGAGAAGAAGAGAAGAGACAGAACGAATGCTTTGCCTGGGCAGGCTTATCACATGGCTGAGAGAAATATCAGAGATAGAAGGGCTAAAAAATTACATCTTTCGATAGGGAAAACAATGAAATTGTTATTTTTTTATTAAATTCAGTGTAGAATTCCGTTGTTGGTCTTAGAAGCAATTCAAGTGGCAATAAAAGTCAAATATGCATGGAATGTCCACAACAAAATAATTAAAGATGAAATTTACTTTTTATTAGAATTTAAGTGCTGTTTAATAAATTTTGGCTAAAGTCTAGTCAAAGGCATTTGTTGTATGGCCAGAAGAATTAATTTTAATACAAGATGTTCTTATAATTCAAGAGGAATTTGAGTTCATGAGAAACTTATTCAGTTTTTCGATTCGCTTGCATTAGACTTATCTGTATTGAAACCCTTCACATTTTGGCACATTTCGAACAATAATTTTCTGTTTACAAGAACATATTTATTATTTCTTTAGCGTGTTGTTTAGAATCGATCGATTGAATATCATGAAATACCAATTGCAGCACTATTTATTTAACATAGCTATTCATAAAATGACCGCAAGCGTTTCGAGCACTTTTTCTTTTCATTTTTGGCATAGCTCTGTTTTTCGGTTTATTGTTCTCTTGCGGTTGCCGACCAAACGAAACGAAACGAAACAAAAAGAAATTCAAATTCAAATTCAATTTTGAATTCTTCTGAAGCTTTTGTTATTAATAGCAAAATACACACACCGAGCAGAGCAGCTGCGCCTGCCGCGGGGCCAGCGGTCAGCGGAGGAGCAGGTTCCCAGTTGCCTGCGTTACGGCTGCTGTCTCTGGCTGCCAATGTTATTTTGTTTAAACATTAATGATGATGAAAACACACACGCATCGCACAGTGCATGCGATTGTATTCGCACTCGCACTCGCACTCGCACTTGGGAAACGTTTCGAGTTCTCTGTTCTGTTCTGTTCCCAAAAAATTCAATTACTCTGTGTAAATGCTCGGGATTGCAAAGCCAAGCGCGTAGCATAAACAGCAACAGGCAACACGCCAAATGCTGCAGGCAACATTTTGTTCTTTAGAATGGGAGCCATAAATTAGGCTAGGGCGCCGTACAACTTTTAAGAAAGAAACCATAACGAATACAAATCTTTACTTCTGCAGCAGTTAAAATCAAGTGCTTATGGCACTTGGCTTATGATAATCTTAGGTTTTATTGTGCAAATTTTAGAAAATATGTATGGTTATTAAAAGTTATACAATAAGAAATACTAAATCTGTGCCATTTGTATAACAATCAGAAACTGATTAAAAATATTTAAAACAGAAGTTTATTTAAATTTGCAATTTTTTCTTTATGATAGTTACATAGTAAAAATAAGAATATAATAAAAGAATGAAATAGGCAGAGACTGTTTTAGAGAAACACAATTTATTTTGGTCATATTTTCGGAACTGGATTGACTTTGACTGAGCCAAGGAACGATTTCTACGCATGAAACGAATCTTAAGTTTGCAATCCTTAGAAATAATCACACCCTAATAAGTATTATCCTTATTATTCGAAGGCATGGATTAACTGACAACTGTTTGGCAACAGTTCTTAACACAACCAGGACAACAAGATTCTAGGCGCTAACCTGGCCAATTCGATGTTTACCCAGGCAAGTGTCCAACTTTATCAGAGCACTCGCTCGAGCTGAGCTGATAAAAGCATTTACGTATGCGCATTTATTTATAAACAAGCAGCAGCCGCATGTATCATTGTTATTTTAAAAATTGCTGGCTGCCAACGAGCAAAGCAAAATAAATAAAATTCGCTTTGCGAAAAAAAGAAACAACAAAAATAAAATAAGATATGTAGAAGAAAGAAAAAAAAAAAAACTCGTAATATTGTTGAACTGTATTTTAGGTGCTTTGGCAAAGTCTATTAAATTTTTTGCGAGCAAAAAGTGTCCCTGGTTCGGGTTCTAGTCGTGGTTCTGTTTCTGTTGGCCAAAACGAAAATTAAATAATAGTCCACTGACTGACGTCGTTGTCGATGTGTTTGCGAACGGGGATGAGGATGGGGGATGGGGGATTGGGGTGCGGATGTGGTTGGGGCACGACTGACAGTCGTCAGTGTCGCCAGTTCTTGAGTGCGTTTTGCATTTTGTTTGTTTTGTGTGTTGTTTTTTTTATTTCAGATTTTTATTTTGGTTTTTGGTTTTGGTCGAGTTGCATTTACTTTTTGTTTTAGCTGAGCAATGCGACTGCGTTTCAATCAATCTCCACTGCACTCTCGGACACGCACACTCACACACACTTATTCACACACAAGCACACACACACACACACACACACACATGCATACTGACACAAACACACATAGACAGCGACACGCAGCGTTCAGTTTTTGGTATTTTTAGCATATTTTTGTCGAACAACGCGCACTATTCGTATATTATATGTAGCAGAAGGCAGGCAACACATTCTCTAAATTGAAATTATTTATAGGACCACCAAAATTAAGTATTAACAACCAAACCAGCCTTCTAGCTACTGTAGTTATTGGCCTTATCTAGTTGATTCGAGTGGCTTGGTAATGAACAATGCCGACATATTATGCTATGTAAAATCATTTAAATTAAAAAAAAAAAAATGGCACAACAGTCTTTAAATATTTGAAAAAATGTCTTTAAGTATAAATAAATATTTCAATTGTGGCTTAGGCACTTTGTCGGACAGCAACTAAAAATACGACAGCTCATTTTATTTTAGTTTAATGTAATATTTTGAATATGAATACAAGCGTTTCAGTAATAATTTAATATCTCGATTAATTATAATTGTTATATTTATTTATCAACAGAGACGGTAAAATGTTTTTAATTTTGTTTGTTAACCAATTTTCATCTCATTTGCTAATGGCTAAAGCAATAAATTATATTCACTTTTTGACGAATTTTCACGAGTTTATTATGCATAAATGTTGCTCGTTTGTACAAACTATTTTGTGGCATTTTATCATAAATATTTATTTATAAACAAATAAATATATATAGAT